GCCCACTAGTCATAAAGGAAGCCAACTCACTGGTTCACCCTGCAATGACTTTGCTTTCTGTTCTCTCTTTCTCCCTCCCTTGCTGCTGCATCCTGACATCACTGCCCAGCACCCAACTTCTTGTTCCTGACTTCATTTTGAGGAGAACCAAACATAACTCATGTCCTGGTGAGAGAAAAGTTAAGAACTGTGCAACAGACGATCTCTAAGGTCCTTTCACAGACTAATTTCCTGTTCTTGTTATCATCCATCTTATAAACATGGCTGAGAATTGCCCTGAGTTCTCAAAGAAGTCATAGGGGAAAGTCAAAATCTCCCCCAAAGCCAGGGTAGACAACCAAAGGGTCACAAGTAGATCCCACTTTCCAAATGAAGCGAAGCATTTCTCACACTAAGATGGGAGGTTTTCCCTCCCTTAAAGCAATCATAAAAATCAGCTCTGAATAATGGTCTAAAGCCTGAAAAGAAATGAAGCGAGACTGAAAATAAATTCATCCCAGCACCCTAAGCTTTCATAGCCAGCAAACTTCTGGCAACTGCAAATTCTGCAGCTAAGGGTGGATTTTGTTTTACGGATTGTTCTGCTTTATTCTTGAACTTCTCAGTTGTGCCTCCTAGAAATATACAGGCTCAAGGTGTGCTCTGAAATTAGCATACAAAGTGAATCATCCTTTCCGGAGCTCTCAAGACCTGTTTTAATTAGCTTTGTGACATGATGCATTCAATGGCTATGGGCAAAGCTCAGAGGAGTGAGAAAGCCCATTTAGAGTTGCCAGAAGCCCCTGTTTTCTCAAGCTTAGCCAGCTAATTCAATTTCTTGGCTTAACCAAGAATGGGCGCTCAGGTCTGCCATACTTCTGGCTTCCCTTAAGTTGGCATATCTGAAGGACCAGCCTTCTGTTTCTTTGGACTCTTCTTTTAATGTCCCACCTGGACGAAAGGAGGTCACAGGAAGACAGGAGTTTACCCTTTGTCAAATTTTGGGTTTAAGTAAGAGTTTAATTCTAAATTGACCATCTCTAAAACTTCTTAATTCCTATAGTATGCTACCAACAAAGGTAATGAAACTACCTAGAAGACAGCAACATGGTTCTTTTCTTGACAAACTCCAGAGACCAAATTATACAATTTCTAACATTGGGCTATTCAAGGGCCTGGTAAACACAGAAACCACAAGGGGTTGGGATGGCCATGAGGCAGGAACAGCAAGTCTCCTCAAATCTGCATTCACTTTGCTCTATTGTTTTTTAACAATGTCAGTTCTATGGAATAAAAACCAAATGTGGTTTCTGTGTCTTTAAGACCGAGGCTGCTTGGGCAATGGGTAGGTTGCCATAGCAACCTGTAATTCTACTGTCTATTAAATGGAAAAGCAACAATAGAAAATCCCTGACAAATGAAGTGGGATACCGCTCAGTGACAATTATCTGTTTATTACAGACTGGCCTGGAGTGCTTCAAAATACAAACACCTGGAATCCTTTGCTAGGTCTGAATGAAATGGAGCTGAGGTTTTTTTCTTTTCAAAAACTCTCAGTGAGAAAGCAAAACAAACAAACAAACAAGTTTCTAGGGCAGTTTAGATGCAAAGCCTCTTCAACAGCAGCAAGCAGGATTAAGCAATTCAGAAATCTCTGGACACCCGAGGTAATACCTAGTAAGTACCCTACATCAGACTTTCTGGGAGAAAAGCCTGGAACTGTGCTAAGCTTGAAGTGTGTACTGCACATGCACACAAATTGTTTTAAGCTTATAACACCAAGAAAATATCAAAAACCTCCTCTGTCAATAGCCAATCTAAAGAACCTTTGCTGAAACACCATTGGACATTTATATGACACCGAAGCTATACAAACAAGGGAGATTCAGTCTCTGACTTCTATAGGCTCACAACTGTGGAGTGAGGGGGTACCGACACAAGATTTCCCAAGCATTATGGCTAAACAGTGCCCGTCAAAAAATCCTCACGCAGAAGACCTGTCCCCTAGTACCACAGAATGCTATGGTATTAAAAGTTGGAGTCTTTAAAAAGGTAATTAAGTGAAACGAAGGTCAACAGGGTGGGTCTTAATCCAGTCTGACTAAAAAGGGAATTTAGATGCAGGCACAAACAAGGGGAAGATGGTGTGAGGACACAGGGAGGTCATTTATTCCGTGTCAGGGGACACGGAAGGAAACAGAGACCTGGGTGAGAGACCCATGGGCAGGCTAACAATGGCAGCCTTTATACTGACTTCAATTTTGACTTTGCTCTTTTCCTTCCAGACTTGCCTGGTCCCTTCTGCCCCTTGTCTATGGGTCCCCCCCAGAAGGTGTCTTAGACCTGTAGCCAACTTTCACGCCTCACTAGCCCCACTTTGGACCTACCGTTTGGTTTGCCCATGAAGGAATAGGTACCTTTGGGCGTTTCATGGGTAAACTATTTTAGCTATAGTCTTTCCTTTTTCTCTAGTGCACACTAATTGTGTTAGTTCTTTTCCACTGAATGTTATACTATGAGTATGATTTGCCGAGTCCTATCTGAACAGGTGGATTGAATCTTGGGCAAGCAAGTCCAAACAGTTTAGCCCACCAGAGCAACCATGAAGGTACCATGAGAGACAATGATGTTAGGTCCTAACTGATTATCTTAAAATTTCCTGGAGGGAGAAGGCTAAGTGCTGGCATGGGCAGTTGGAATGGAGCCATCTATGTATGCCCACGTGTAGCCTAACCCAGTCCAAGCTTTGACCCTACCCTCCCAGATGTACTCCTTATAATGATCTCCTGACTCCTTTGGAAGAGCCAAGCTAATTCTCCTTCCCAGCATTGGGACCTCATGCAGGAATCTGGTGAGTTCTTTCCATAGAGGGCCACCAACATGCCATCACTTGACAGGGAGTCAGGAATAGGAGTACAGGAATATTCTAAAGGATTCTGCCACATTCTAAAGATTTCTGCCACACACATAAAAATGAAGGGTTGAGGGCCCTCCCTCGTGGTGCAGCGGGTCAAAGCAGAGCACTATGAAGCCACTTCAGGATGAGTTCAATCCCCACTCTGGAGGTGATCCACATGGCGCGCAGACCTCTCCTGACCCACCTGCTGCTCCCCTCAGCAGTGTACTTGGAGGATCAGCCTGTTCTGCTCCCCACTCTGTTTCTGTTGAATCCTCTCACTGTCCCTGCACCTCTGGCCTGTACCCCAGTTCTGTATGCATAAGTATTTTAAATGAAGGGATTAAATATCAACATTGAAATATAATAGTTTTGAACATTATCTTTTCCAATAGAATTCAGTTGTAAGGTTAATTTTAAATAGTGAATGGATTCCTAACTATTGTCCTAAATTCTTAAAAAGTAGCAAACAGATCTCATGAGCCCTCACCAGCCAGCTCCAGCACCCCACAGCTAGAATGGCAGTGGCTGGCAATTCTGTCAAGTTACTGCTACTGGTAGTCACTGACTCCAAGTACACATGACTCCCACATTGTCTGGATTGCACCCAGGATTTTCATGTACTTTCATTTTGCATATAGACAGTAACAATCTAAGCCAGTTTATTCTTCAAAAATCATATCAGAAAAAAACTGCTTAAATTCAGCACTAGAAGAAAAAGATTATCAAGAGAATGAAAGTGTAGGTGATTTCCACTTTGGAAACCACCCCACGTGGGCTTAACTGAAGAACCTGAATAGGAAAATAAATGGCTTGGTGGGAAGTGGCCCTTGGATGGAATAGATGAAAATTTATAAGCAATGTTACCAAGTGTTATAGGGGGCGGTGGGCAGGAAATGCTGGCGTTAAGTTCCAAGAAAAACAAAATCATAGAAAAAGGTACTGCTGAACTTGGAGACGTAAGATCAGACTCAATCCAATGGACACTAGTAGAAAAAAAAAGGGGGGGGGGGAGGAACACTATATTCACCTTGGGTGTTTTATAGTTCTATCTTTCTAAAGAGCCTGACTTCCCTCTTTAGTGAGTTCTATTAATGTATAGAAAAATGCTAATTTGGGAAAATGCTACTGTTGAAAGCGTATTTACGTTCTGGTGACCAGATTCCAAGTTTCCATCGAGATGGTCCCTGTGGCTCCAGCACCATTCAAGGTTTTTGGCTACTGTTGTTCTAAGTGGATCTGACACTGCTGTCCAAAAATCACCCCATAGCAACCAAGTTTCACTTACGCAAAGCAAAACTCTTGCCATATTCACTCTTTAGCCTTAGACAAATAATTAAGCAAGCAGATATAACCAACAGGCCCAACTGCATGCACCAGATAAAATCAGATCTGTGAATTGGCTCTTTCATTTACTCAAAGGTAGTATTTTAAAATTCAAAAGGAATTTTATTTCCCATCAACCACACATTTATTTAGAACTCAAGTGTTTATGAGGCTGTGCAAAGGGGCAGAATACCACACAAACTTAGACACTAATTCAGACGTGACCAAAGTGGGTTGAGATTTGTCTCTCAAAAGTACTTTTCAAGAAGCCCCAAGGAATGCTCACCACCATAAGAAAAACAAGAGGTTGCTTGGTAGAGGGGGAATCTGCATCCCACCAAACCCTTCCTTATGGGATTTGCAATGTACATCTACTCATTGAGCACAGAACTGACATGAAAACACCTGAGTAACCCAGCACTCCCAAATGCACTTATCAAGGAGCTCATTTCTCTCACCTAACATCAACTAATATTCCCAGAAAAGTGGAGGCTATTACAGAACTGGGAAACAACAGGGAGTGTTATTTAAGTAACTGCCAGAGTCTCTCTAGAGCATGCAGTAACTACGGAAAAAGGGGTCAGTCATGCTGAGGAGTCTTATTCCATCTACAGCCAACGCTGATTCTTGGCAAGCACCCCATCCTCTTTCCCCATTTCCGGCCCAGAGTATCACCTTAGCAAGTACTACAAACCCCTCTCCAGCCGGTATTACAGAAAATTGCAACAATCCTTACTAGACTCTCTAAACAAACTCTAAAATCTTTTTTTTTTTTTTTTTTGCAAAGCCCTGTGTGTATGTTCCCCCATGCTGAAACAGAGATTTACATAGGAGATGCTGTGAGCTCAGGGGAAAGCAGCAAGTTAAATTTTAAGTGGTCCATAAAAACGTCGAAACGGAAGGAGACCAAAAACCGTATTTGGTTAGAAATAACATTTATTACCCCTTCCCATGTACAGATCACTTCTCAGACACATGAAGATGTATCCATGTCCTCATCAGTTTGTAGAAAATAAGCTTAATTATTTCCTGTCAACAATATATTTCTATCATTTTTTTTAAAACAATAGCCATTTAAGTTTTTCCAAGTTAGTTCAAGAACAGCTTCAAGTTTTATGTTTTGGATCAACTCAAGACAACCTTTGTTTATAGGTAACAATTTCCTGACAGAGACCCTCCCCCCAACCCCTAAAAAAAAAATCTATATCCTAAGTGATAAACTCTTCTTGTACATTCAGCAAACTTTATATTGAAAAGGAAAAAAATAATTGAGATAGGTACTTACTCTCGTGCACAGTAATAAATCTAGCTGAGCTTCTACACCTTGCTTTGCAATGATGTTTACATAAATCATATCTTACCAAGTACAATGGTAATTTCTTGAAATGTAGATATGAAAGCTATACAATTAGTCCACTGACATTTCCTTTAAATTTTTAAATCTGTAATTAAACCATCACCCTAAGGAAAAGCTTCATCCCAAGCAGATGTTTCCCTTTCCCTCAGCTATTTCTCTCTAAAAGCCTGAATCCTTTCTCAGATCATGTAAAGAGACACAATAAAAGCACAAGGGAAAAAATGTTTTAGCTTGCTGACATAATGCCCGTAAGTTTGCTGACACAATGCCCGTATTTTGACTTTAAAATGTAAAATCAGTTAAAGCATCACTTAATTCATACAGTACATTATTAATTCATCAACAGTGTCCCACTGACTCAGAAGTTTCCTAAACTGGTAGCCTTCTTTGCATATACTAAGTTTATAACCAATGACTCAACCAAAGAATGTGCTTGTAGTAGGCTGCTGGTTTAATTTTAGAATTAGAAGATTCAACATTGGGCTATTTTCAAAGATAGAAATGCTACTGATGGCATAAGGACTATTAATTTTGTTTCCCATTACCTACAGGAAGAATTCATTCAAATAAAATTTTACAAGACAAATGCGAATCTATATGCCTATATATAGATGTATACGTGTATATACTGAACCTAACTAAAGTTTTATAAGCAATTCTAACATAGTTCTGGTTACACATTCCTAAAGACTTAGTAATTGTTTTAAAGGTAACATGTTATAAAGAGGCTTATGCAAAAGGCAAAAATTAAGAATCAACATGATCTCTGAGGTCTTCATATTACTTCAAAACGCTGTTTCTATTCCCATAGAAGAAAACTATGCATTTATCTTAGGGGAAAAAATTATAAAAAGATAATGCTATCATGTAAAGAATTCACAAAAACTATACTGTATATCCCATAGAAGTCTTACCTATTTAAGGTAAACCACAATTACGGTTTTATATTGTATTACAGACATCGCCATCACCTTTCCTCTTTAATAATGAGAGGGTTTAACTTTTTTTTAATGACTTAACTAGTGCCACAGAGATTCAAGTCCCAGTAGCAACAAGTTAAACAAGATTACAAAATAAGGCATTCTGCTCACATCATTAAAATAACAAGCTGAGTATAAGAAAGTGGGCTCTTTTCATTTTTGTAATTTTATATAATTCAAAAATTAGAAGACAATCTTCAACAAAAAAAAATCCAATTAGTTGCTATTTTCCAGGGAAACAGAAACATACATAAAATTCCCAACTTTGGCTATTTCTCCTACTGTCATAAAAAGAGGCTGATCTATCTACTAAGCCCAATATTAGAAGTATGGATAAGTTATCTTTGACTATACTATTTGCAAGCCTGTAGGTCGTCACACACAAAATGATTTTTCAAACTATAGATTAAATCTAATTTAAGAATATCCCTGTAGTGTCATTTAGGGGGAAGAAAAGGAGACTCAGAACACATTTGTGCATCCATTCTCTCTCACACACACACACATGCACACACGCACGCACACCAACATATTAAACAGTTTGCTTAAACATTGATTGGTTCTTCAAAATTCTTCATCATCAAGCTGCAGCATGTGTATAAGGGGCAATATTGTAACCTTTGTCAGCACAAGGTAAGAATCTGAATAACTTTTAAACATCTAGTACCTTGAACTGAAGATTTTACCAAAGATGAATTCTAAAATACATGTGTTTTGAAATTTGGACTCAACTGCTGTTACATTTTTACAGTAAGTATTGTTTAAATAAACAAAAATAGAGCATAAATTCAATATTCTACTGTCTAAACAGTTAAGCAATGATTATGTCATCAACAGGTAAAATGCACCTAATTTGGGTCTTTTGACACCTCTTGTTTTAAGTTTATTGTGATAAAGTTCTTCACAGTTTAAAATATTGTGAAGAAATATATTTATGTATAGCTATATTCACATATATTATGTACACATACTATGTATTTGATGTACCCATAAACTTTGAATATATGTGTGCCAGTAGGACACCCCACACATATGCAGGAACCCTGAATAATAGATTGGTGTGGACAGTGAAACTTTTCAGAAATGCTTAGAAATAACAAAGAATATTATTATGGATAATTATAATAACAAAAACATTACTGTATTTACATAGTGCCTATCTCCCAAGAGGTAAGTATGCTCTATAGACATTTTTTAACATCTCTGTGAGGTGGGGCATTGGGAACACTATTAAGTCTCATTTTCCATAACCAACTAACCTGCCCAGGATCATACACTTTAAAAGAGACAGAGTAAAATACAGACATGGAAGTCTCCTAACTTGAAAAGTCTCCAATTACTGGATCAAATATTCTTGTGAAATCAAATTTTCACGATATAATAGAATTTCTACCACAAAGGATTAATGTTTCAATCTTCAAACACCTGTGATTGTGCACTGTTTCTATACCACAGGGAGATCAAAATGTTTTTTGGCTTTGGCAGATGAAAAAGTCTGACATTCAGTGTGATTATATATTTCAGTGTAACTTCTCCAGTTTAAGTGCGACACAGCTGATTGGTCTGTCAGGGAAATGTGGTCAATATCTAATCATGGCTGAAGAAATCTCAATCCAAACAGCTACTGCATGATAACAGAGATAGCCTACAATCTGTATTGTCTTAAAGATCATTTCTATCTCCACATATAGTATACACATATAAATAAGCATTACAGCACAAAATGTACAGTTAGCATGAGTCAGTTCGTATTTAAATAACAAAGGCCTTAGGGGTGAACTTTAAAGGCCAAGAGCTCCTCAGAGTGCATGTTATTTAAAGATCGAAGATCTGGCAACTTTAGAAGAAGTTTTGTAAAAATAGAGGCCTCGTTTGGATGATTTTTCATTATTAAGGTCCTTAGTGCACGAATAAGGGTTTCCTGCAAAGCTTCCACAGAATTGACGTTTTCTATTCCAGATCGATCTAAGGGAGAGGGATGAAAGAAGAACCTATTAGTAACATTAAACATAAATTTTTGAATTGGCTCATTAATGCCATTAACAAATTCAACAAGGTTTTCATACATTGAAACAAAGGCAAAAAATTGACAATTTTCTTAAACTAATGATAAATTTTTGTAACTACTGCATTATAAAAATATATAGCATATAGTACATGTGACAAATCAAAGTTCTTTATTGCTAAGCTAATTTTGTTCACAAAAAACCTACGGGTTCTGGTTTTTAAAATTAGATGCCATCTGTTGATTTCAACCGCTAACTGGCAAAGTGAAATGAATAATGTAGTTTAGAAATACATTTTTACTCAACCCATCATATATCCACATTCATGTAAATACCATGTCTGGCAGGCAGATTCTAAAATGGCCTCCTGTGAGCCCTTATCCTGGTATATATTTCTATGATAGCCTTCTCCCTTTGCGAGGACTAGACATACTAAGTCACAATGAACAAACTATTAGATCGCAAAATAAAATAAAATCTGACTTCCATCTTAGGCACTAAGTCACACAGTAATAAGTGATACAGCATTGAACTTTATTACCTAGTTATATTAATCTGCATTCACTCTAATTTTGCATAATATTTTAATAAGCTCATCATAAAAGATGTTAACACATTAGTGATTTAGTATAAACCAACAGTAAGGTTATCTATCTTAACAAAGCCTGTCTTTTGCCCATGGAATTTTTATATCAGCAAGAGCTATTTCTCCCCTTTACAATAGGAGGCAGTGGTGTGCAAGAAATATTCCATACCTTGCTGTACAGAGTTGTAACTATTAAGAAAAAGACTTCTCCACAGAAGCAACATTTTCTAGCAATTCACTTCCTTTTTTTCACTTTCTTACAAGGAAGTTGAGGAAGTAACTAGCAGCTCAAAAAGATCGTTTGCAAAGTAAGCATTAGAACAAGGTTTAAACTTAATCGTGGGGAGAAGAGAGTATTACTTAGTCTAAATATAGGAAAAAATGATGAAAACAGGTTTACTGTATGGTAGAGGGCAACAGGTGCATGGCGGCCGGTGCGCTGCAGTTACACACGCCTGCAGAGGTTGGCACCCAGAGTTCGGAATCATACAATTTTATAAACTGTTACCATGATCATTTTAAAAGAATGTAATAAAAAAAATTTTTAAGTAATATCAGCTTAGTTTCTATTTAATAAAATCTGGACTATTCTTATGGAGAAAGAAACTGATGGTGCAGCAGTTCATAAATTTTTCAGACAAAACTGTTAGAAAAAAAGACCTCTTAACATTTGACTTCGACCATATAATTCTAAGACTCATCTTTGCAAAAACACTTAAGAGTTCCAATAATGCTTCGAAGAGCCTCTTTGGCCTCTAATTATTCAAGTAATTTTTTTTTTTTTGTAACATCCTTACACCTCACTGATTCATCATTGAATGTATGCAGTTAGTGTGACAGGTGCTAGGGAATTTAGCAGTGAACAAAATAAACCAAAGTCACTTCCCTCAGGGAGCTCATGTTTCACAAAATAATTGGTTTGCATTTATGATCAGTAGCTTACAACACCAACAACAGGAAAGAATGACAGGGAATCCCACACACACACAAAAAAATTTAAGAAGTAAACAGTAAGTGCAGAAGGATATCTGAGACAGAACTTTGAAGTTACTGGTCCTTGGTTCGACAGTTAGTGCTTGGAAGACCTATGCTTTACAACTTAAGAGCATCTATACTGAAAAGCATTAATTGTATTAAATTTTTCTAAAACTTCAATTTCTAAAACCATGGTCTTCATGACTTTATGAAAAAACCTAACTACAAATCTAGCTATATTGTAAATAACCGTCCTCTAGAGACTGGAAGAATAAATGCACAGATTAAAGTACATGGTTACACTGCCACTTGCTCATGAGCCAGCTATCTTCTACTTCCTTAGTTGGTTCTTCTCTCCAAATCTTCTATGTGTACTCACTTTCTACAGGATGAAAGTTAAAAACTTCAATAAAACCTCTATGAAGACCACCGAAATCCATGTCTAAATGAGTTGCTCTCATATTTATTTACCAGTCCCTAAATTTGAACTGAAAGTGAGCGCTGCCATTTCACACCACCTGAAAAAAAATAATTACCTTTCAGATATAATTTCTCTTCTCTTCATAGTATCAAGATTCTTCCGGTCTCAGAGGTAAATATCATCTTTGACAGTCCTCTCTGCCTTAGCAGCTAGTGCTGTTCTGTTATCATGCAGTGTACTGGGAAAGCTCTGAAGCTAGACTAATAAGAGTTCAAATGCCTGCCAGTCAATTATTAAAAATGTAACCTTAGGCAAATTATATAATCCCTTTGTTTCTCAAAATCCTTGCCTATATAACTGAGGATAACATGTCCTAACACACACCAGGGGCTGTTGTGAAGCTAAAATTATATAAGATCTAGAAATTAAGTAGCATTTCTTCTGGAAACAACCAAATCAAAGCCTAGAAGGCAACTAGGATTCCAGAATAACAAAAAGCTATTTTAAATATAAAGCAAACTATCATGTTGATTAATTCTAAGCAACTAATACAGAATATAAATAAATAATCCACCTTTTCTCTAATGCTAGGAATAATCCATCCTTTATGGTGGCAACAGGTTAGGGGAGAAATTTATGTACTTGTCTACCATTTTTACCCCCGTGAGAATAAAATAAACACTATTTACATAATCATAATACTGTAAATGCTGAGTTTTTACTCTGCATTTTTTTGTTATGATAAAGCATGAAAGGTAATCACAATTACAGAACAGAATATAAATGTTTTAATCCTCAACTATGTAAATGAACCAATATAGCAAAAGAGCATGCTAAGGAGGAAACAGAAAACTGTCTCCCTGTACACTAAGAAGGTACTTTCTAAATCAGAGATTTTGTAAAAGTTAAGGATCAAAGAATGTGCGCATATTAAAATTGTAATAATTACAACTAATAAAGTAACCAAAAAAGTAAAACAAAAATTGAGAAGAGAGTGCTTTAATTTATCAGTTATCTCTATAATAACAAGATAGTAACACAGTATTTAGAGGTGGACAGACAGGCAATCATCAAAACAACTAAAAAGAAAGATGATTAGAAATCTAATTTGCTGCAGAATAAGAATGGGGATAGAGACTTTTTCATTTTATAAACGTCTACAGTTTTTGTATTTCATTTCCTGCCTAGATACTGCTTTTTACTTTGTAAAGAGTTAAAACTGATATGAACACTGTCATATATTTAAGTGAAAATGACATGTTTTAAATGCACAGAGTTGTATATAATTGTGTGGTTTGTATATCTTCATATGTAAACAATAAAAGTGAGAATGCTTTTCATTTTTCATAATCAATCTTTTCTTAATATTTCAAACTTTCTTTATATACCATCTATCAATAAGTCAAAAAGATAAATGGGGGCCCTCCATGGTGGTGCAACAGGTTAATGCACAGCACTGTGAAGCTGGCTGCAGCTGTCTTGATAAGTGTTCTATCCCCAGCCAGGGAGGTGACCCAAATGGCATGGCAGACCTCTCCTGACCCACCTACTGCTCCCCTCAGCAGTGTACTTCATTGACCTGCCTGTTCTGCTCCCCACTTTGACTCTGGTGAATCCTCTCATGGCCCCTGCACCTCTGGCCTGTACCCCAGTTCTGTATGCATAAATAAATAATTAAATCTTAAAAAAAAAAGAAATTAGCAAGTAATTTCCTTTGGTTTTACAATAATAGATTAATCAGCCATCAATTCCATTACTAATTACTAATCAAGACACCATGGTAACTGAAGTGCAAGAGGCATTCAAGGTTACTAAGAAACAGGTATCCTTGGGGCCCTCCCTCGTGGTACAGCAGGTGAAAGCACAGCACTAAGAGGCTCAAGTCACTGCAGCATGAGTTCGATCCCCGCCTGCCCCAGAGGTGACCACATGGCGTGGCAGACCTCTTCTGACCCACCCGCTGCTCCCCTCAGCAGTGTACTTCGTCAATCTGCCTGTTCAGCTCCCCGCTCTGTCTCTAGTGAATCCTCTCACCACCTGCACCTCTGGCCTGTACCCCAGTTCTGTATGTATAAATAAATAAATCTTAAAAAAAAAAAAAGAAACACGTATCCTTTATTGACGTACTACTGTATCATACTACACCCATATCATGAATACATTTTTATCTATTGAAGTAGAAATCAGAAAAAGAAGTCAAAGAATGTTTCCAATCCTTTAAAATACTTCCACTGCATAGGTCCTTTAAAATATACAAAGTATACAAAGAAATTGTTAACCATAGTAGTTATTAATTTGTAGTTAATCCATGTAATCATGGGTTACATCTTAACACACCTAGCACAGAGTCTTTTGCACAATAGGAAGCAAGTGGGAAATTCAAACCATATCAAAATATTGTAAAATTCTCAAATGTTTTAAAATAAAATTACTGATACATACACAAAATAGCTGACACATGTGACACAACAAAGTCATTATGTGTCATTTATGAGTAGTTTTTGGGAGTAATCACTGCCTTAATGGCTATTCTCTAAATGGAAATACTTTGGTCAGAATAATTGCAATATAAATAAAAGCAAGCTGGCAGGGAAATTGGGAAATATCAATGCTTCATAAAATATTAAATCTATGACCAAAAAATCACGGTCACTCATTCCAACAGTGACTGAGCATTTAGTCTGTACTAGTTACCGTGGTCAGGCTTATGTGGGAATACCCCTTTGTTTCACAGGATGTGGAAACCAAGACTCTAAAGAATAAAATTATTTTCCCAGTCACCTACAAAATTCAGTGGGAAAGTTGGGTGAAAGCCTATAATTCATAATTCAGTGATTTTTTTTAACAAAACACACTGATCCATCTAGATAATTTTGACATTTTCAAGTAACCCACAGAATATTTTAATTGAAACTTAGATTCATATTAGAACCATCTGCATGCAGATAAACAATGTCCCAAGAAGTAAATCCATGAAATTAAAACTTAGATCCAGGAAAAGATTATGAAAAAGTCATGACTCAGAGAAGTAAATGTGAAGCTCATCTAAAGACCATTTTATACCATATAGTACCTTTACTGTCACTATAAAAAAATACTAAGATTCATATAGATTAGCATCTTCCTTGAGATGTCTATAAACACTTGCTAGGAACTAGTTAACTGCTGCCTTCTCCCTAACTGGTCACTATACTTTAGCGTGTAGCACAATTTTGAGCCTGCTTGCTTACCTGCAGATACCAGGACAACCGCTGTAAACAAACTCATCTCTTCATCACTAAGTTGGAGGGCATTTAGCTTCTCACTAAATTCAAACATAGAGTTAAGCAGATCCCCTGCTCCCATTGAGTGTAAATCATCCACACTATACTTCTTTCCACTTAAAAAGGTGACTGTACGCTCTTTTGCATCAAATAATGATGCAAACCGTACCATTAAAACCTGGAAAAGAAAAAGATTTAAATGTAGTTGTGGAAGTTGAATTATAATTCTTAAGAAATAACTCAGTATTCAAGTCTGTTAAGAAAGATCCCACACACAGGACCTTCCTGGTAGCACAGGGGTTAAAGACACAGCTAACAAGCAATTCCCAGCCACTGCAGCTTGAGTTTGATCCCCTGCCAGGGAGGTGACCCACATGGGGAAGCAGACCTCTTCTGTCCCACCTGCTGCTCCCCTCAGCAGTGTATTTCAGTGCATTTGCCTATTCTGCTCTCCACTTTGTCTCTGGTGAATCCTCTCATTGTCCCCGCCCCCACCTCTGGTTTATATCCCAGTTCTTGAATGTATAAAATTTTTTAAATGAATAGGTACAATATAAATATAAGAAAACCATGGAAGAAAAACTGAGTTTTATGTTCACCTAGAACCAATTTCAATCAAATTATCTATCAATATAATAAAAAATTCCAAGAACATCAAAAATGTTCCAGTGACCAGTGGCAAAATATTTGAGTCCTGTGATACTCTGAAACTTTATTAATAACAATTCTGAAATGCAAATATGAAATTAAAGCAGGCACTAGTGCCAAGAAAAAAATGGCAGGAGTAAAAAGACAGTAAATATTAGAGGCTGTAATACTAAGCTGGCTACCACTTGCTATCAAGAACGACTGAGAACTCAACCTGTGGAACCATCCAGGGAGAAGTGAGTATCTGTCACAACTCAACAACACCAGGGAAGCCCTAAGTAGGTGAGAGCACAGGGAGAGATACTGTCAGATGTCCTACTAAAGTCAGTAACAGCCACTGCCCAAAGCACACACAGAATGAACTACAGCAAGAGCAGATGGAGTAGATGCATAACCCAGGATTCTGCAGTGAGGTTGAGGCTGAGAGGTCTGAGGTGGTATATAAAGGGGTATGTGATACATCCCCAAAAATATTCTACAATCTCAAAAAAGACAAAACCACATTCTATTTAAGCCTTATTCTGTATTAAACATAGTAAATGCCAGGCCAGGCTCTGCGTAAGTGTCTAAAACTCTGTAGAACCTACTAAATCCACATTTGACAACTAGAACTTGATACCTACCTCAAAAGTCCCAGCCTTTAAAAGGTTGACCTGGTCATGCTGAGAAAGATCTCTGAACCCAGGAATACGTTTTGCAAATTCCACCACTTCTTTCACAGCTGGGGTGAAACTCATTGAAAATTCTTCCCAGATTTCATGTCCTGATTTATGAGGATCCACATATGGAGACTTACTCATTGGACAGACCTAGCATGCACAAAACAGGAAAAGACTTAAATTGTGATTGGTGGTAAAGTACATTGGAAGTGGTATCGGAAGTGGTATCTCAATCACTAGAAACCCCAATATGAAAATAACCTGCAGACCCAGGCGAGAAAATAATAAGAATAAATAACAGCCATATACCCCCACATTTTGTGGGGGTGGAGTGGGGAATGGGATAAAAAACAGGGGGTGGGGTGGGGGGAGAGTACACAGGACTATGGTGATGGCACACAGGTGACTCGGTGATGGGAAACCCACGGGGATTACAGTTGAGATGAAAAAAATGTACAAAATGATGTAAAAATAAACTATTATATTATATAAAAAGAAAAAGAAAATAACCTGCAGGCACAATTAAATCTTCTGCTAATACTTTCTCCATGTGCTACTGGCCTTGTGATGGAAAGCCTCAAGGCAACCTAATTTAAATAGCGACTAACTTGCTATCATTAAGAGATAGCCTAAACAAAAATGAAATCTATAATAAGCTATTTGAAAAACCTACACAGGTTTAAGGGATTATTTGTAACACTACTGCCATCTTATGCTGGTTTCATAGTTTTCGTACAAATTCATATATATTTACTTGACTCTCAACCCTATTCATTATGGCAGGTATTATACTCATCATTTCTTAGATGAAGAAACAAGTGTCTAAGATTTAATCATCCAACTTTAGCTAGAAGTCACAGGCCTAGAACCCAAGCCCACCTTTAATATGAATTTCAAAACTTGCATTTTTCTAAGTAGATATAATGTAATTTCAAAAAGGAAAAAATAGTGAGATGTCTCATTTTTTTTTTTAAGGTCACCATTTATTTCATAAACAATGGTGTGACCATTGGCCTCCATTTATTCTCTTTAAGAAACAATTACTAGAAAATCAAGTTACAACTTCTAAATGAAGATTGGGGAGAAAAAAAACAGAATGGTATAAAAATCCTATAATGATGATGATATATGGACTGTATATTAATAAAATAAGCCTTTAAATTTTCATTAAATCCAGGCCTCCCTGGTGGTGCAGCGGGTTAAAGCACAGCACGAAGAAGCTAAAGCCACTTCTGCATGAGTTCGATCCCCGCCTTCCCCAGAGGTGACCATGGCATGGCAGACCTCTCCTGACCCGCCCGGTGCTCCCCTCAGCAGTGTACTTCGTCAATCTGTCTGTTCTGCTCCCCACTATGTCCCTGGTGAATCCTCTCACCCTCTGCAGCTCTGGCCCGTACCCCAGTTCTGTATGAATAAATAAATAAATCCTTTAAAAAAAAAAGCAAAACAAACAAACAAAAATTTCATTAAATCCATAGAAGATCAAGGAATGTGATAATTCTATAACCATGGAGCACATCACAAAATCAGAACCTAAATGCTTATATATTTTTCTCTCCTTAAAACAGTGACTAAATCTAATAAAATGTAAGGTAACCTCTCATATGCATGGACTCAAATATTTCAAAGTGAGGTGGTAAAAACCTAACTTGAGTACTAAGGTATAGTCAACTATTTTTAAAAGAAAAGATAATTATCTGACTGCAGAAAATACCAAGCACTACCAAAGGGCCTTATGGTTTAAACTATATTTGATGCAATATTGCTGCTTTTAATCAAATTTGGATTGAATATAAACACTGTATTTTCATGTAGATGCTTGCATTTGATGGGGAAAAAAACCCACTTGAATATTTATTCATCTCACAGGATAATGTCTAAGGAAAGCCTTAGAAATTTGCTTATTAAATTTCCCTAAACTCTTAAATCAGAAAAGTATTCACACTCAAAGAACTTGCATCACATTGTTAAAGCAAATTCCTTCGCTAGAAATCAAAGAATGACTGACTGTTTCAAGTGAAAAGATCAGACCTTTGAGAAAATCCCAGAGCTACTAAGGCTGTGATTAACCAGAATACTTAGAATTTGAAAGGGATTTCTAAAGCTAGAGGACCAAGTCTGCATGAATCATATTTAAAAAAAAAAAAAAATCCTAATGTTAATCATTGTATCAATCAAACCACATGCGTGTACCTAGCTCTGTGTGAAATTAGGTCATTCAACAAAAGCTGTTGACTAAAAGTCTTTGACCTAAAATACTGTATAAAATTGATCTGGTAGGTTTTCTGACACTTATCCTCCAAATTAAAGACAATTTTCAAAGCTTTCCTTGATACAAGTAAGCAAAAAATAATAACAATAATTGTTTTCACTATACCAGATGCATTCTCCCTCCAGTGTTGCACAGGTAGCTATTCTTGTTCTCATTCTGAGAAAATCCATCTATGGAAACTCTATCACATACTCTTTGAGTATAAGCATTTGAGAAGTTCATACAGTGTCCATTTGCAATACAAATGGCATGCCCATTTGGGTAATGCATTATGTTTCTCCCTTTGTACTGTCCATTGAGATGCTGCTGGCTCTCACTACAGGGAAAATGGCTGCTAAGCCCGCTGCCACAATGGTCATGATTTAAATTATACTGCTCCAGGTTCTTGGGAATCCGTTCCCTCTGGGGCTGGATGGTCTCTGCTGAGTTTTCTTGCTGCTCTTGATTGTACATAAAGGTATCCTTGTGTGCTCTGGTCACCATGCCAATCACTTCTTCCTTTGCAAAATCAGAAGACGAAGGAGAACTTTTGATATTTTCTTGCTCCAGCTGGGGCTTGGGTCTCAGCTGTTCCTGGGCTGGTAAGGCTGTTTGTTCATGATGTTCTATTAATGTGTCATTCTGCAAATGACCACTGAACTGGCTGTTCATCATGGTCTTCATTGCACTTTGCATTTCAATTAGCATCCTCTGTTTTTCACGTTTAGGAATACGACCAAACCGAACAGCTATTGAAGAAACAGATATTTAATATCTATATTCTAAAGATATAACATAAAAGAACAACACAAAATTATAGATACAGCTTCTAGAAATACAAGTAAAAAAAATGTCTACGTGTGTTAGACATAAATTGTTCTAATAATATTCTAAACCTTCTGGTTGTTTTTGATATACCATCAGAAGTAGAAGTGGGAAGAAAATTTTCCATTTTTCTCCCAAAACAAAAGTAAGGAGATCTACCTCTTGGTGATTTTATATTCTAAATCTAAAAATGAAATCTGAATTAACTAATGAAAATCACAGTTTGAAGTGAACCAAAATTACCACACAGCACCTCATTAAATGGCTGAAGGCTCAGTTCTTAAGAAGGCATGTGGGATTCATCTACCCACATCCATTAACGTTAATGGAACCTAGAAGGTACAATCACTCCCTGAACATGTGACCTTTGTCAATTTATTTTCATAACCTTATTCACAACACACAACTATTAAATGATCTGCCCTCTCCTCATCTGGTTTCTTAAAAAGGAAAGTCTTAAAGGAAAGAAACAATAAGCCTATAGAAAGTTACTAGAAAATAAGCTAGCAGGATTTTAATTAAATGCAACAGAATAAAAATGAAATCATTAATCCTCCATTCTTTTAGCAGCTAGTCTTAAAATGTGTTCTATCTCCAGCAATCCTGCCCCTAAGGCAAAGAAAAGATTTTTTTCCTAGTCTAATATTTATACAGAGATAATAAAAATTCAGTGTCTCCACACAGCAAAAAACTCTTATCTAATTATATACTCTAACATTATCACTGTCACAGACTAACAAGTTTATCATGCCTCACATTCAACTTCTACTCCCTCCTTTACAAACCATGGTCATTTTTATTCTTTTGAAGCAATCACAGTATTCATCAACTATGACTTAGTATTTCTAGTGCTAAAGAACATGTCCTCAAAACATCATCACTGAAATCCATGATTCAAGAAATTCCTTTTGCAATACTATATTTCTGAACCCATAAACTATTAGAGTAACCTAAGGGACTGCGCTTAAATGATCCTTCCCTAGATAAATATCAGGTTCTGTTCTTAGCAATTCTTAACCCTAATAAACTAATCCCTCTGAAAACTCATACCACTTGTTTGTTACTTAGAAAACAATGAGTCTTATCCACGATGTCTGTAAGCACAATAAAAGAGTCAAATCTAGCAATGATTTCATCCACAGATAATACTAGCTGTCCCACAAATTTTTACAGCCTTTATTTTGCATGGAAATGGATTATTCCAGAACTGAGAATCACTTCCCATTCTCACCCCTAATGACTCTTTCAAGTTTTTGCCTCTTGATATATTCAGAAACTTTCCTGAAAGTACAGTATTATCTCATGGCTGAGAAAGTGAGAGATAACTCTCATAAAGAAAAATGGGTTCCTCAGTAATGCTAAGAAATCAACAGAAAAAGCCAATATTCTTATACTTTAAAAATTATATATATTTTCAGGAGGGGGCAAAGTATTTGAATTGTATAGGGGGGAAAGAGATCTTTCTACAAAAAGTAAAAATAAGTAAGCCAAGAGCTGTTTCTGAGGTGATGATGCTGAAGTTGAACTTTAATGAATTTGGCATCCTACAAAGCATCAAAATGTGTTTTCTAAAATCTGCATCACTCTAAGTACAAGAGGGCTTTTGGTAACTGGCTTATAGCTCTGGTTTATGCTGAGGAATAAAAATCAAGCTCCATATTAATAAGAGCACTCCTTAAACAGAGAACATACCATCTCTCGACATTCCAACAGACAGACACTTTTTGAAGCGACACTGCTGACATCTGTTCCTATTCATTCTCATTATAGAACAGTTTTCATTCTTCAGGCACTTCTTGTATTGTATGTTTTGCTGAATGCTTCTCCGAAAGAAACCCTAAGTACAAAAAAAATCCAGATGAATTCCTTAGAGCACTCCCTCCATAACTAACTAGTCCCCATATCTAACAGCCACCTGTGAAATAATTTTGGCTTAAAGCAGAAAACATAGTACTGACACAGTTTAACTGGATTCTCACCAGTATTAGTATGCACCCAGGTTTACTAGCCAAATAAAACTCTTCTTCCTTTTGCCTTTGCCAAACCCTACCTACCTATCTATTACCCAACTCTACCTAGAGCTGCATTTTCCAGGTTATACTGCTAAACACAAATTCCAAATCTTAAGATATGAATGATTGATTCTTAAAGGCTTTACAAAGAAGTTATTCCATAGTTATAATTCCCTCATGAGAACGAAATATCACATTAGCAGACCTTGGTCCTTTTCTGCATCACTGCCTTATGAACCCTGCAAGGCCTACTTAGATGTGCCAGATGTTCCTGGCTACTTGTCAGCAACAGGTAAGTGTTACACTACACACCATACACCCACAGCCCAACTAACGAGCTGAAGAAAGAAAATACACGGGTAAATGACTGCCTTTACTATGAACAGTACATGTTCTGTGATACTCCTTCAAATATACCCTGCTTAATGATTCCAGGGAGAAAAGAAAACTCAAAAACATAAATAGCAAAATTATTTTAAACTGCATTTTTCTTCAATATTACATAATTAACCATAAATTTCATGAGTCTGTATTAGTAACCATGGGATACTATATTTTTTGTATTTTATTACTGTATACCGCAATTCTACATTTGCTGAGGGTACTACAAGATATAAGCCAAGTTATACAGGGTGTAAAACAACTATATGTATTTATGGAATGCACAATTTGGTTCATTTGCTCATGCTTTTGTTTCTCTAGCTATAAAATGAAAATGGCCCAAAATTACTTCACATTTTTGTATAATACATATATTTATAGAACTTTTAGACAGTGGCTAAGCACTACATTTATATAAAATACTAATTTTTGTGACCCAACCATTAAGATCTACCAAACTCACAATTCATTCAGTGTCACCTTAGAAATATTTCTTCTTAGATCATGCATATTCATTATCTTGCTCACCTACCTATCCTACCAACCTGGATTCTTGCTTCTGGCTTTCAGAGAATTGCAAAAGCAAGTATGTTGGCCATGTTAATTTTTGAAACTCGGGAGAAAGGACTGTGCCAGATTAAAGAGAGAAAGATTCTCTGGATATAAGCAGGAGGTACAAACGTCAGCTCTGGAGTATCTGACCAACACTCCAAGAAACACTCAGCTAACATATAGGATAAACTTCCCCAAGTGCTCCAGTTACACTCAAGATTCTTCTACTCTTTAACTTTTGAGATAAAACATCTTTTAAGCATCTTAAAATTATTCCCATCCCCTAGTACTTGACATGTAAGAATGTCCGAGTATTGGATGAGGACTTCAAAGTTTGGTTTAAATGAAGTTCCTCTCAGGCAATTGTGACTTGTCCATTTTGCTCCCTGCTGTTTTCCCATCAACTCGAATGGAGGCTGCACATTCATGATAAGTATTTGTGTATTTAGTTTCATACCATAATTATGCTTGAGTAAAACAGCAGATTCTGATCAGATTTTTTTTAAATAATTTCACTAAATTAAAAATACATTTCTCAGAATAAGTTATGTTCATGTACTTTATAAAATCTTAAAAGAAACTGCTACCTCCTCTTCTCCCAAATTATCTTTAATCCCAGGACCAGTAACTTAAAGAAACAAAAGAAAGCTTTACCTTACAGCCTTCACAAGCATGAACTCCATAGTGGAATCCTGATGCCACATCCCCACAGACTTTACACAGTAGAACCATGCCACTAAACTCTAAGGCACAAACAAGACACAACAGTGAAAATCTGGAAAAAAAGCTTCAACTGCTTGCTTTCTTTCCAATTGAGTATTTTATTCTGTTTAACTAGTAAATAATTTTAAAAGACACAAATCTACTTTTATAATATAAAGGAAAAATCTGTACCAAAGTAACAATTCAAATCGCAGTTTTCTTTTAAATAAAGTTTATAGGACTACTATACTATCTCAGAGAGCTGGATTTTTTTTTCCTTTCCTGATGACTTTAAACATACACTGAAATTTTGTAAACTTAAGAGTTACTTTACATTAGTTATTCAAACACAAGAAAGAAAATAATTCTTTTGGATAAAAATTAAGAAGTCATACAGAGAAGTCAATCAACAAAAGGTAAAAAGAGATGATCAATTAAATTTATACATCATAGGGTCCCAGCCCATTTACCTTCATATTCTCTAAGGGATCCCAATCCTGCTACTCATTTCCAGCTTAGTTTCCTAGTCCTACATGTTCCTAGCTGCAAATTAATGAATGTAAACCCCCTTCTACCAACTGGGGACTAAGGACATGACCCATTGCAATAGTCAATCACGTAATCGAAGCAATCCTGTAGAAAGAGGGTCCAAAACATGGGTTCAAATAGTGACATCCAAGTTTGGTTGAATCTGCAAATGAGAAAATCCCTCCTGTGTAAGCAGAAGCAGTTCAAGCCCTTATTGTTCAAGGGTCAGCCATACTGTTCTAAGAAACCAAATTCAGTATGAGGAATCCAAAAGCAAGATAACTGTGAGAACACAGTAAAAGGGAATACACGCTAGAGGAAAACATGGTCAGGCAGAATATACAACTCTATTATCTTGCATTGAGTCAGCTGTGACAGCTTTTAAGCTATAGCTTTTAAAATCATCACTGAGTTCTACCCTAACTACTGAATTATCATTACCCAGAAGAAGTAATATAAAAAATCTATCAAAAAATATAATAGTATTTAGAAAACTAAAGCAGCTTACTTGTCACTCCACTATGACTCTTGGTCATCCCAGGTGCACTCGATTTGCTTGTTTTCATAGAACAATCTATTCGATCATTTTTCAAGATGCCTTCTATGTTAGAGACATCACCATTTTTGGGATTGCCATTGTTATCAGAATTAGAGCTATTTGGAGAAGATGGAACTGAAGAAGAGGAGGAGGACTGGAAACTATTCTCAGAACCCTCACTGTGACAAGAGGCAGGACTAGAGGCTGAGCTGGAAGAACTGATATAGGCAATCACACCTCCTAGAAAAGAGGGGGGAAATCAGATCATTAGGTACACAGTGGTATGTATTTTCCATTTTTGCAAATCTAAACAATCAAATCACTAATTTCTGCTTATCCCAGAAGTAAAAAGTGACTTGTTTCCTAATATTCTTCCTGCTTCCCACTTTCCACCGATTGAAAAGGTTTTCACTGGTTTCCGTATCTAAGCACATGCAAATCCATCAAGTTTCTTATTTTGTTAACTGTCGCCTAAAAGGACTGAAAAGGTTTCCTAAGCAACTACATAGCTTAAACAAATTATTTTGGTTGTGCAGAAATCTGGCTCTCATTCTCTCCTTGCCTCCTCAATCATACCTTAATACGACAAAATCCTAGAAACAATGAGTTCATCATTTACCTCCCCCAGCGCTTGGCTAAAACATCAGTTAAACAAGAACAGATGTGATATTTGGACTCTGGATAAAGTATGTTACCTTAAAAAAAAAAAAAAGGAAACTATCGGCACTGTTACTCTCAAAATCTTTGCATTTTGATGACACCAAAGACTTACATGACTTTTCACTTCATCCAAGTTGCACTTGGTTCCCCCTTCTCTACCTAGTTCTGCACTTGTAGACACACTCATCTCTAAGCAGCACTGCAGGAGTCCAGATTTGTTTTTCCAACTCATCATTTACAATAAAGGTTAAAAAGGCTAAAATGAAGAATGCACACTTTAAGAGACTAATGTTAAGGCTGAAGCTAATTCCCTCTTCTGAGTTACTCTCAAAACACTAAGCACAACTTCACCAACATAACCTCCACAAACCCTATGAAAAGTGGCACTGCCTCCTAGAGAAAACTTCCTAGGTTAAGAAATAGCATCTACCCAGCAATCCCACTCTTAGGTATCTACCCAAAAGACACAAGCAGCCCAAATGCCCAAAAGTAGATGACTGGATTAAAAAGATGTTGTATATATACAATGGAATATTACTCAGCAACCAAAAAGAGAGAAACACATGTCTTTTGCAGCATCTT